TTGAAGTGGGTAAAGCTCCATTTTATCCCATACATAGTCAAAATATTGGGGGGGGGGGTGATACAATGGACCATCCCCCCCCCTTGTCAAATATTGGGGGGATATATCCCCTCCATCCCCCCCGGGATCTACGCCTATGATTTGTTCATTATTGATCAGATCACTTTCTAAGTAGTCTTAATAGGTGTATTGGCCAGTAAAACATTATATTGAAGACAAAAACTGCGAATCCAAGACAAAAAGTACCTGATTTATAGCTGTTTTAATAAATTGGCGCCATTTTGGCGCCCATCTTGTAAAAACCCATTTCTGGTTGTCCGATTTTTGCCAACTTTTGATATGTTTTTCTAGACCTTATGCTACAGAAAAACATTAAAAAAAACGTTTTATTGCAATTTTTTTGGGCATTTTTTTTTCATATTTTTACTCTACTTAAACTTAAAGTAAAGTATTTATCGAGGTTCCAAAATATGGAACTCTACAGGTGGCCAAAACTCTTATTTAACGCTTCAATGTATTTAACATGTACAGAAGAGAGTATAAGATAAAAATTTTTGGCTACGATGAGAAATTCATTGAATATACTGTGAGATGTATGATGGGTTAGTACATTTAAACATAAAAACAACGATCTGTGCAATGTTAACTGGATTAGTAATGCAGTCAGTAATCTTAGTAAAACTGATTACTATGGAAGCAGTTTAAAGTTTCAAGCAAGATCCAATACCTTGCAACTTAACGCCAAAATGAGTAAATGTCCGGTTGTAGATAAGTGTTGCCCTCTATGCCATGAAAATGAAGAGGATATTATGCATTTTATGTTGACGTGTTGACTTAACAAAATAAAATCTCATGAATATATCGCTGCTGAAAATAAAATCACATCCAATTCTGATTATAATACATGGTAGTTATTCATGAGTGGAGATTGTAACACTATGATGGATATACTTCTTGGAGACTTACAAATAATAATGATCTTGTATATCGTACTTAAAAATGGCATGGAAACAGAGAAATGATATTATAAATTGTAAAACCTAATCAATCAGGACATGTACATAAATTTGTTTGCATGAACGAAATTGTATCTTACATCGTACTTTTAAAATTGAAAAAAATCAGAGAAATCTTGTTATAAATGGTAAACATTGTAAAAATTAAGACTTGACCTGATTTGACCTTATGAGCACTTTTTATACATGTTACTGTTCATAAAGATTTGTCGAGTTTTAAGAATCCTTTTAATTTCACGTTTTGTACATAATCTTGTTACTGTTTATAGGCCCTATTATTTGTTTTAAATATTATCTTTATGAACGCATCCATCATCATACTACACGTGACGTGTGCCGCCGATGGAAAGGCGTACGTTTTTCAAATAAAGTATTATTATTATATAAATGTTCGATGTAATTCACATAGCTCGCTTCCACCGTAATTTGGAAGCTATCACACAGGTGCACAACAAACCTGAAAGAAAATATTGCTGCCAAGGACACGGAATCGGAATATCGGGGATTAAAAGCAAAAATCATGTATATTAAAATCAATTTGTCCATAGATATACTTAAAAATAAAAAGTATAAGATATTTCATTCTCTGATCCATAGTTGCTAAATTAAGTTGTTCAAGTCGTTGTAAAAATCTCCCTTAACCCACAGTTTAGTAATTCTACGTGGTTTATTTACAGAAGTTATATGCTGTTTTTGGTGTGGTACTCATACTGGAGCAGCATACTCGAGTATATGTCTACATAAACCGTTAAATAATAAAAATAATTTTAAATTTTAAAGGCACACAAGGCTCCAGGTTCATAAATAGTCCAAAGAGTTCAGTTAGACCTATTGGTAGTATTTCCTAAGCAACAAGCTCGATCTGGAATTCCATTCAAGTCACATTTCAAAATACTCTTAAAAACACTTTTAAAGTTCGGATGTTTAGCTGCATATATAAGAGGATTGAGGCAACTGTTCAGTATCAAAATCATCGCTGCATAGGGTGTTGCTTTTATAGAACCATCACTATCCAACATCAGGCACACGCCAAACGGAGTTAGGCAGATAACGTAAACGATCACGACACAGAATAGATTTTTTGTAACTTGAATCTGCGTTTTATTTAGGCGATGCGCTAATTTATTATCTGTGGTGTTACGCAATGTCAAATCAGACTTCATCATTTTAGTATGATTCCGAATATGACGAAACACAAGTAGATAACAAACAATGATCACAGAGAATGAAACTGGGAACCAGAGAACCGCAAGAATCGTACTGTACGTCGGTGAGTTGGGGTGACTTGAGTCCCAGGTACACGACCCGTAACGAGTATCAAACCCTAGTTTGCCAACATCAAATAAAACTGGGAGAAGTGATACGAAAACCGAAATCGACCAGATAAAAATTACCGCAGCTATTACCCAGGAACGTTTAAGTGTCCAGGCATTACGATAATTACGTTTGCTAGTTACCATGATTAAACGACTAATCGCTATCATAACCATCGTATATATCGAACTGTTCACACATACGATCGACGTTCCCGCTGCGTGAACGCACAGCCGCTCCGCCAGTGGCCAACCTGTTCTATTGGTTGACAACAATGCTACAACTGACCACGGTATATTCAAAACAGTCAATAGATCCGTAAGGGCAAGATTCACAACGTAAACGTTCGTGACGGTACGTAATCGCCGTGACATAATTACGGAGAGGATTACTAGACCGTTACCAGTAATACCAATAATCATGATTATTGCCAAACAGACTACTTGAAATTGCCGTTCAGCTCTGCTCCATGTTACGACCGGAGGAGCTGTAGTAAGGGAGACCGTTTCATTCCCATACGCATCCATGGATGACGTTGTAAAAGTCGGGTTGCTCAGCGTAGATCTATTCATACTGTATAAAAAGAAATGAATTTAACTAACACAAAAATATGTAGTGGTACAATTTCTGCAGAAAAAAATTTCCGGTGGCCATGTTGTTCTTTAGGACATAGGCTCATTTAGTAATTACATTCACTATACATACATTCATAATTAATACTGTACGTACCATGAAAACAAAGGGTTGGTTTACCCCACCTGAGGACCAGAATTTATTAAAAATAATCTTAATTGAAATTTTGGCAGTAGGCCCTAAATAAGGGAAATGACAGGTCGATCCAGTGGTATAACAGGCGGGTGGGGGGAGAGCAGGGGCAGATTTCCCCTCCCCCCCCCCAGACGGTTTTTACCGGGCTGACCAAGCCGTCGTACCGGGCTGGGTAATTAGAGAAAAGAAAGAGGGGAGAGGGAGGGAAAGAAGGGGAAAAGAAAAGGAAGGGAAAAAGGAAAAGAAAAAGAGAAGAGAAAAATAAAGACAAGAATAAAAAGGACGATATCATAGTGACCAGACTCACAACACCCTGCAACCCTTTCTCCACTTCAAAAAGTGTCCATAGCTCCTTTGATCTAAGCCGCCAGATATTCTCCGCAGTGGCGTAACCACCGGAGGACAAAATATCCATTTGTGGAAAATCTTTCCCAGCCCCTTGAAGATGCCCCTTTCACCCCCTGAAAGTGCCTAAAAATCACAAATTTCTCGTTAAGCCAAATTTCCTCTAAAAATTGCACATTTTAGGGAGTTTTGATCAATTCCGACGAAATTAGAATTAAAAACACACACCTTTTTTATGTTTTTGTTTAGAGTTAGCCTTCTAAGTTATTATTTAAGATCGTTTTACCTAAAAGAAGGGCCTCAATGTGTAATGAAGTTGTTTGTAATAAATAAAGCCATAATGAAAATGCTTATATTCAGTTTTAAAAAAAAAACGTTTGTGGCCATATAACATATGCCCTAAACTCAAATAAAAATTTTGCGGGTGAGAACTTGTGCTTGTCCTCCTTTGCCTTCTAAGTTAATTGAACACATAATAGTCCCAACTCAAATAGAAAGAACATTTAAGATAGATCGTTTTACCTAAAAGAAGGGCCTCAATGTGTATTGATGGTGAAAGAATATGTTTGTAATAAATAAAACCATAATGAAAATGCTTATATTTAGTTTCAAACACACGTGCGTGCTTATGATATAAGTAAGATAAGCCCTATGTCGTATAGTTTTCTATATCAGGGCGGGGGTGCGGGGTGGGTTGGATATGATAAATTACTGACCGGGAAAATTATTACCTTTGCCCCCCACCCCCCGACCCAAAACCCCTTTTACGCGCATATTGAAGTACAGTATCTGCTACATCGCTGACCAACATGCGCTAACATAAATTCAAGGTAAAATATCTTGTTTTCTCACCTTTAATTTTAATCACTCAGGTCAGGAGCGAGTGTTCTCGACTGTCCACGCAATTATGAATTACTCTTAAATGATTATCGAGAACGATGTGTTCTTTTTTAAATACAATTTGACTGATGTAACGTTGATGTTGTTTATTGCTAATAAAATATTATTACATACACAGATTAAGAAATTAATCAGAGTTGGTTTAAATGACGGATAATTATTAATCTGTATTAATTAAAGTAACTGTCAAATATGGGCCTAGGTATTTAGGTAGGCATATAATACTGTACTGGTATGCTTAAATGACGGAGATGATTTTGTCTTAATCCATTTCATATTACCATTACTGTATTCTTTGTTCCAATATATGACTAGACGAACGATAAAACTGTTGAATTGGTTTATCCGTTTCAGGGTATTTATATGGAACAGGAAACATTGTCCAAACAGCTTTCCAGATAATAAGCCTTTACCATCACTGCCACGACTAACAAGTTGAGGAGATGATTTGGGTGCCTTTAACCTACAGCACGGTAGCATACCCATCGCTGCATTGGTTATTATGTAGGCCTCATACAAGTAATTTACATGCCCATAGGCATTTGTATATACACATGGCTCAGAGTTTTTGGCTGCAGCAGCCAGGCGGGGCGTGGGTGGATGACGCTCTTCTCGCCATACGCTGGGTCTGGGTATGCCATTTAATACTGTATCAAAAAAAATCCGGTGTAGGTGTTACAATATAGGATATACAGATGGAAACAAAAATCAAAAACTAATATTGTTTTCCCGTGCCCGTTTGGATTTTGGAACGTAAGATTAATTAATTACAGACGGGTTATAATTGCAGGGAACTCGCTTTTAGATTATGAATCGTCTGTGACTATATACCGAATGTCCTACCAGTAAAACTACATCGACCATAATGTAGCAATATGATTTGGTTGGCCATGAACGATAAGGTACGAGGTCATAGTCCTATAATTTTAAGCTTTTGCTGTAGTCTTTCAGTAACACACAATGTCAATCAATCACTCACTCACTTACTCCCCACTCACTCAATAAATCAATCAATCAATCATAAGTTAATCAAATTGACTCCATTCCAACTTTAAGCAAGACGGTCTGATCGCTGAAGAAGAGCACAAGAATATATATATATATATATATATATATA